GTTGCCCGACCTTGCCCTAGCCAGAACCGGCACCTCGTCGCCCTCGCGCCGCTTCGCCAGGCTCGCACGCACGGCACGAACCGACGTGCCGGTCGGGGCCACTTCGTTCTCCCTCCCCGCCCGCACACATCCGATGAATTGCGACTACTCTTGACCCTCCGATCAATGAGCGCTCATCCTCGTTACCCTCATCCATCATCCCAGCCTCCTGGCTATCGTTCTCACCATGATCCTGGTACTCATCATCATATCATCATCATCATCATCATCATCATCATCATCATCATCATCATCATCATCATCATCATCATCATCATCATCATCATCATCATCATCAGCAACAGCAGCAGCAGCAGCATCAGCAGCATCATCATCGTCATCATCACCAACAACAAGATCCTCATCATCCTCATCATCATCAGCATCAGCATCATCATGATCCTTATCAGCACCATCATCATTGCCATCAGTAGCAGCATCATCATCATCATCATCATCATCATCATCATCATCATCATCATCATCATCATCGTCATCACAATCCTCAGCATCCTCATCATCACCACCATCATCATCATCATCAGCATCATCATCATCGTCATCAGCATCGCCATAGTCATCATCATATTCATCACCATCATCATCATCATCATCAGCATCATCATCGTCATCGTCATCGTAATCGTCGTCATCAGCATCAGCATCATCAGCCTCGTCACCCTCATCAGCATCATTAACGTGATGACCATCAGAATCAGGTCGTCATCGTCATCAGCAGTCGCAACATCATCATCATCACCATCATCATCATCATCATCATCATCATCATCATCAGCAGCAGCAGCAGCATCGTCCCTCCTCACCCTCCCCCACCGTCTATCACTCTCCCTCCTCGTACACGAGATCGTCATCGTCAACCTCTTCGTCATGTGTCAACCGTCCTGTCCTTCGTCAAAATACCCCCCATCCGTTTCATTAACCTAGCAGTGCTTGCACTTACTGGTTCGTACTTCGGTTGCCTCAGTACTTGGGTGGGTGTGGAAGGGGTTCCACCTGGTGCGCAGTGCGCCCCGTGCGCTGGAGGGTCTGCCAGGGTTTGGCCTGGTGCCTGGCTGGTGGTCGTCTGTGGGCGCCTCGTGGTCGCCCCGTGCACTGGCCGCCCGTGGGCGCCTGGTGGGCGCCCCGTGCGCTGGGTGCACCACATGGCTTGCATCACACAGCTTGCACCACATAGCCTGCAACGCACAGCCTGCCACATACGAACTGGATCACAGATCCTGCCCCACAGATCGTGCTGTCCCACAGATATTG